AGTCTACATGAGTTTGTCAGCGATTGGACCTGGGGCTGGAAGGACAGATTGGAGTCTAGGATGACACCTAGTACTCTGGCTTGAGGGGTGGGACTGATGGTGGTGTTGTTGGTCTTGATGGAGAAGTCGGGGGGGGGGGGGCGCTGGCTGGGGGGAAGACTAGGAGCTCAGTTTTGGAAAGATTTAGTTTGAGGAAGTGGAGTGACATCCAATCCAATATGTCACTCAGTAGGCTAGTGATACGGGCGGAGACTGAAGGGGTGAGGTGAGGGGGGTAGAGAGATAGATTTGCTTGTCGTCAGCATAGAGATGGTAGTTGAAGCCATGAGAGTGTATCAATTGGCCAAGGGAGAAGATGTAGATAGAGAAGTGAAGGGGCCCGAGGACAGAACCTTGAGGGACCCTAACAGAGATGGGGAGTGAAGAGGAGGTGGCAGCATCATAGGTAACACTGAAGGAGCGCTGTGGTAGATCGGAAGAGAGCCAGGAGAGAGCGGAGTCTCTGAGGCCAAGAGAGTGTAGTTTTTGGAGGAGAAGGGGGTGGTCAACCGTGTAGAAAGACCTAAACTATACAAAAACATACTGTCTAATAAATAAAACTATATTTGGCCAATTATTAAAAAAAAACACCCATAGCAGCTACAGGAAAAATGCTAAGCATCACTTCCCAAATGAATAACGACATGCATGGAAATGACCCTGACAAATATGCATATGCACTCACATGGGAGGCATAGAGCATCTAAACTATAAGGCTATATTGCATTAAAGGAACTTCTGCTCCATATAAGTATCCAAAAGTCCATCCCTTTTATGGCTAGATGACCATTCAAAGCCCATGCTGGATATACTGTAAAGTAGAAAAATGAATCCACATATGGTGAAAGTAAACTGCATCAAATATATCATTGGAAGGCTCCCAAAGAAGAATACTGTATCTTCATATATGTGTCTGTATGTCTCACTTGTAGCATGCCATGTCAATAATTAGATCATAGCATGAAAGTTCTTTCAGCTATATAGATTAACTGCCAAATAAGGGAGCCACCAGCCTGCTGAAAATGCCAGAAGACTCCATAGGCAATTAAATTATCCTGAAGGGATTTTTCCAATTATGTATTTTCACATATATATATATATATATAAATATATATATATATATATATATATATATCGCTTATAGCATGCCATGCTGATAATTGGATCCCTGTGTGAAAGATTCTTCCAACTATATAAAAAAATTACCAGAAAAGGTAGCCACCAGCAAACACAGAATGCTGGAAGACTCCACTGGCAATTTAGATATCATTTAAGGATTTTTTTTCAATTGGCATGATTAGTGAATACCTAGTAAGGAAGCCACTTAAAAATACTTAGCCATCCAATTGGGTCTCAGGACATCCAGATTGTTCTCTTGCATGGTGATACTACATAGATGTCTGTCTGAGAACACCCCATTGTCTCATCTGAAGTGGAGGAGATACGGAGAGAGAGGCATCCCAACAGCTGTCAAAATGGAAGGATGGCTAGAAACCCGATTGGTTTCACTGGTCACGCCGGCTGCTTCAGGGGTGAATATTATTTTTTTTATTATTATTATTATTATTATACAGAATTTGTATAGCGGCAACAGTTTGCGCAGAGCTTTGCAAATGAAGGTAGACATTACAGTTACAATACAATTTGGTACAAGAGGAAACAGAGGGCCCTACTCGTTAGAGCTTACAATCTAGGAGGAAGGATTGAGTGATACAAAAGGTAATATCAACCTATACACATAGAAATGTTTATAAGTATGCTTAAAATGGCTGCCATTGGTGCCAAAACAGCAAAATATGTCTTCACGTAAAAAAATGTTGCGGCACCATCGCACATGATTGCAAATAAAAGTAGGAATGCAATTAAACGTCACAATGTCACCATGCATGCTGTCTTTTGGCAGTCAATTTGAAAGATTAGCACAGAATTTAAAATCTATCTTTGCCTTACCCTAAATGTGGGAATCACAAAAAAGTGAACTGTCCTATTGGTCCACACACACCCCATTCATCATACATATGCCATTGTATTCCTCAATTATGACCAGGACACGCTATAAAATAATTATGAGATTCCTGCATTTTAATGACACATCCCTGTGCCCTCCCCGAAGTCACCCCAGAAATGACTTACAAAGGTTTTACAAATTAGACTACTTACCAATTATTTTTCCTCAAAATTTTCAGAAATGTACCGGTATACATCTAATAAATTACCTTGGCTACAGAGTACACATATGACTTCTGCATTTACAGAGGGAAAAGCTACCTGAAGCTCCCTGAATGCCCAACTTATATGGGTAGCAGCGGAAAAATAGTTTAGGACCTCCTATACCAGTGTTCCACTTTTTCCATACCTTTTTCTACAGCAAACTAGAGCATGTGGTGCAGTGCAACCAAATCACAAAAGCTTTTCTCAAAGACTGGTTACTACAAAGCTGAAATTGGGGAAGTCAGTAAGTCTGTGCAATTTGTTGGTCCTTAAATGGAAGGATACATGAGATGTCTATGTGCTTCCATCTCAGTGGAATTCAAGGAAAGCTCCAAAAACCACATTACATACATACACAAGTCATTCGTGGGAGATGTAGACTTCAATTACCAAATTATGAAGCCCTACCTGGCAATCAGAAGATCCACTCACTGGTATAAAGAGAGAGTGTCTATGTACCTGTTGCAACTGGCCATTTAGAACACTTTTGCCAACTATAAGTCAACAGGAAGACCAGGCTCCTTCCTAAACTACCAAGAAAAGGTTGTAACAACCATTGTTTACTAGCAAGGCCCAGCACCTGAATACCTTTTTTTCTGATGCAATAAGCAGGCTGTATGAGAGACCCTTCCCTAATACTCTCCCTCCTTCCAAAACAGGTTAAAAACATCAAAAATGTCATGTATGCTTCAAAGATGGAATAAGGCATGACACACGTTACTATTATTTTGACTGTCCCTCGCAACCTTGCCGTTGCATAAAGGACTGCTTCTTTTGCTACCATATGTCACTACAATATTAGTGAAGGTATGGTGATGGTGTTTCTTATGTTCGACTATCTGCATCTTGTCTGATGTCCTGTGTGCCAACTATTTGCGTGTTTATCAACCATGTTTTCTACCTGCTACCTGGACTGAACTCTTGCCTGCATGTTGACCATGCCTCTACCTGATGCCTGAACAGACCCCAGCCTGGTAAATGCCCATGTTTTTGTCTGCAGTCTGAACTGATCTTTTTCCTGATTACTAATCCACTGACAACATTACTGCAAGACACCAGCCCCACCCATCCTCTGCAGACAACTGCACTACTGGAACCACAAGTATTATTTTGTTCACAATTTGTTCAGTCTTTTGTACTTTCTGGCCAGTGAACTTAGCATTGTGCTATGAGTGCAGCCACCGACCAGTGGTTTAGGCCTGCTTAGCTTTTTGGAATGAGGACTGTTGTAGATGATGTTACACTAAGCTATATTCCTTGACCACTCATATAGGATTAACAATTACAGTACATTGTTTTCTGTACAGTGTTGGTAGTTTTTTTGCAATACACAAGATGCAATGTTGGGCACATAATCACTAGAAAATAAGTTGGTATTTTTTGTGTGGTGCACCAGGGCTTCCATAAGTGTGATAAGTAGTCAGGAAATTAGATGCGTAATTTATATCCCTAAATAGCCTTAAAGGAGAAGTATGGCTAAAACGCCACACCACTGAGAGCCTGAAACAGTTGATCCCACCCATCCACAGCCTGCAGCTCCAGTGAGTGCTGGAGGGGAATAGCAGAGAGTTGGTGACTGTCAACCTAGAACTTGGCAAACAGCAGTCTTGTAGCATTGGATTGATGCTGCAGTCATCTAGGTGAGTATGTACTGTATTTTTTGTTTTCTTTATTCCTGCACTTCTCTTTAAAGGTGACCCTTGGATTTTGGGCCTCTCTAAGTGGTTAAGCTGTGAAAAAGTCTTATACATGTTATTGCCATACTCGGGAGATGTAGCAGAATGTGTTTTGGGGTGTAATAGTATGCTGTGCTGTGTATTTCAAATATCTTAATAATTGACAATTTTGTGAAAAAAAACACATTTTAATTTTCTTTCCTTGTTTTTCAAAAATTTGTAGAAAAATATAACATTTTCAAAAGACTCTTTATGCCTCTTTTGAAAATACTTTGGGGTGTTTGCTTTCCAAAATTTGGTCATTTTGTGGGTGTTTCTACTGATCTGGTTCTTTAGGGGCTCCAAATGTGTGATAGGTAGTCAGAAAATTAGATACAGTATGAAATGTATGCCCCTAGAAAGACTTAAGGTGCTTCTTGGATTATGGGCCTATCTGTGTGGCAAGGCTGAGAAAAAGTATCACACATGGGTTATCACTATGCTCAGGAGAAGTAGCAGAGTGTGCTTGGGGTGTATTTATAAGCATTCCTGTGCTGTGTATTAGAAAAATCTTATTAATTACCAACTTTGTTTAACCACTAGCCTATCGGGCACTTATACCCCCTTCCTGCCCAGGCCAGTTTTCAGCTTTCAGTGCTATCGCACTTTGAATGACAATTGCGCAGTCAAGCAACACTGTACCAATATGAAATTGTTATCATTTTTTTTAGACAGATAGAGCTTTCTTTTGGTGGTATTAATCACCTCTGGGTTTTTTTTTAGTTTGCTAAACAAACCAAAAACAACTAAAAATGTTGTAAATAAGTGTTTTTTCTCCTTCACTGATATGCGCTAATGAGGCTGCAGTGATGGGCTTCACTGATAGATGGCACTGATGGGCACTGATAGGTGGCACTGATGAGGAGGCACTGGTAGGTGGCACTGATGGGCATTGACAGGCATTACTGATGGGCACTGAAAGGAAGCACTCATATATGACACTGATAGGTGGCACTGATAGGTGGCAATGATAGGCAGTGCTGACTGGCACTGATAGGCGGCACTGACTGGCACTGTTAGGTGACACTGACTGGCACTGATACGCGGGCACTGACTGGCACTGTTAGGTGGCACTGATATGCAGCACTGATGGGCACTGATAGGCGGCACTGATGTGTACTGATAGTTTGCACTGACTGGCACTGATAGGTGGTGGCACTGACTGGCACTGATTGGCAGCACTGATATGTGGCACTGACTGGCACAGATAGGTGACACTGAAAGGCAGCTCAGATGGGCACTCATATGTGGCATTGATGTGCACTGGTAGGCACTGATATGTGGCATTGATGTGGCACTGATGGACACTGGCAGGTGGCACTGATGAGCACTGACAGCTGGCATTGATGGACATTGACAGTTGGCACTGCTGGGACTACACTGATCATCAGTGCCCCGATGATCAGTGTACATGTCCCCCTCCGAGGAATGCCGATTACCAGCTCTCCTCTCCTCTCGAGCTGTCAGCGTGACAGCTTGTGAGGAGAGAAATGCTGATAACCGGCATTTCCCTATTTACATGAGATCAGCTGTGATTGGACACAGCTGATCACATGACCGAGCCGAAATCTTCAGCTCTTTCCGTTGATCGGTGATCTGCTGTGTCCGAGGGACACAGCGCACCGCCGATCGCCGCACTGCGCGCTCCCTGAGCCGCGCATGCACGGTTAAAATGGGAGGACGTCATATGATGTTCTCCCAGAATGAGAGAACCACCTTGACCCGTCATTGCACTATATGGTGGGCGGGAGGTGGTTAAAAATAATATTTTCATTTTCTTTCCACATTTTCCAAAAACTTGTTGCAAAAAATGACACTTTCAAAAGACTCCTTATGACTCTTTGAAAATATCTTGGGGTGTTTGCTTTCCAAAGCATGATTATTTTGTGGGTGTTTCCACTGTCTTGGTACTCCATGGCTTCCAAAAATGTGATCGGTAAACAGATGTGTAATTTAGACCCCTAGAAAGCCTTAAAAGATGATTGGGAATAAAAAAAAAGATCATACTCGCCTAGATAGCTGCAGCACTGATCTCAGCTGTAGCTCCCCTACCACTGCTAAGACTGAGAACTGAGTGATCTGCAGAGAGCCAGTGACTGTTTGTCACCAGCTCTTTGCTCTGCCCCTCCAGCGCTCACTGAAGTGCCATGCTGTGAATTGGGTGGGAGATGCTGACTCAGGCTTTCAGCAGTGCTCTGAAAGGCTTAGCCAGCTGCTGGCCCAGGTTGGGCAGACAGTCAGGATCTCTCCAGAGCTTGGACAGGCTGAGTGACATCATCATTGCATGATCATTATCATTCAAAGTGTAGCAGTGCTGAAAACTGAAATATGGCCTGGACCCTAAGGGGGTCCCTCCCACAGCGTTGCTCTCTGCACTAGCTATGTGCGCAGCACAGTGATGATATTATTGCTTTTATAAGGTAATACCAGGGTGTGCAAATACATTTTGCACACAGGAAGTAGATTTATATCTTTTGTGGCTATTGAGGAATATATTTTTATTCACATTTTTGTGCTTGGAGATCAGTGGCACTACACTATAAGATAGGTGCAGCGCTAAAAGTAATAATATTGAACCTATTAAGGTAAATAGCAGCAATTCCAGTTCATAAACAGTTCAAAGAAGTGATTAAAGTGCTCTTTAAGGTGCTTGCTTCCTGGAGATCGGTGAACTTATGAACTGGAATTGCTGCTATTTACCTGTCTTAATAGGTTCATTATTATTACTTTTAGCGCTGCACCTATCTTATATTGCTTTTATTAAAGGGTTTTTTGGTTACCTTTGTGCAAAGTGGCTTTTATTGTTTTTTAGAGCTCTCACATCCCTTGTATTTTGATTAGTGGCACTACACTGACCATCTGCACAGTGCATACTGCAGATATACTTTTAACTTCTGCATTCTGCCAACTGTGTTTTTTCATTACATACTCCTGACCAAAATCTTTTGTCTTTTCTTAATAATTGTTGGTTGCTAAGTAGTCCTTAAATGAATCCTTCTAATGAGGGTTTTCTTTAAGGTAAGCTGTAGGTCTGTAATATGAGTACATCATTTTTTTTCGTGGAAGAGTTTTATTTACAAAAAACAATAATTTGTCTTAACATCTATGTACTTCTACAAGACACCTGTGAAATAATTGAAGTATATTTCATTTTCACAAGGATTAGGGCATATTGAATGCATTGTGTTGAACTCGGGTTTTATTTACCTTTGGCTCTTAAAGCCATGTTTGCTGTTCAGTGTAATTTGGTCATATCTGTTTAGGTGCTGCAGCTTTCTCTGTGCTCAAGGGTGCCCCGATACTTAACAATACTAGCAACACCTAGTAGACATGCTATAATGACTGTACTCCCAATCACCCCACCACCACCACCTACCTATTGACTCTAAAGCTTAACATTTGAAAATAAAATCCCTTGGTAATAAATCCACACAAAATGTGCATCATCCTTTTTTCCTCGTCTTAACAGATTTAAAATACATAGGGCTGTATGAAGTCAGCTAATACTAGGAATACGTAAAACACAAAATGCATCAAAAGTACATGAAAACAGCATGAACATTTGAATTCATGTTTAGATATAAAATATCAAATACAAGAAGATATGGGATGATAACTATGACAAGAGTTCATAGAAAAATGGGCATTTCCAAAGATAAATGGATGTGTGGTGGAAGAAACAAAGGAATTTGTTCTGCCTCATATTATTTGTTGAAAGCGAAGTTTTTTTTTGCAGATAAACAGTCAGTACACCCAAAACTCCTTTTTCAGTTTGTGTTTGATCCTGAAGGGTTAAGGCCTAACTCTGGGCAAAGATGCCCCCCACCACACATACACACACACACACACAATCTCCCACACAGAGCCTTAAAAAAATTTTACTTTCTGATTTTTTTTTTTTTTTACACACAGCTAATTTACCCATTTTTGACCTTTACTGACATTTCCTCCAGGAGTGTCATCCAGTGGATCCAGTACTGTAGTCTGTATCTGCACCTCTTCGCATTGTTATCACACTGTGCAGTATAAGAGGACATTTCCACTGAATAGTCAATAAGAAATGCCAAGGCCACCCAGGCAGCAGCAAAATACCTGAAGAAGGGGGTGCCTCCTTCTCAAAAAGGACAATAGAAGAGTAGACACTTGGTTCATCATGTAACCACAAATTTCTGTACAACGTTTAAATAATAGAGACATTTATCGTAGGTTTTTCTTTTCTAGCTCACTAAGGGATAATTTTTTTTTTGCTAGCCAGAGTTCAGTTTTAAACACTAGATGGTTTCTAATATTACTTGGTGAGATCTCTTTTTACTGTAAGTACCCAAGGCATAAAGAAGTTGTGAAATACCTATCCCTCCAATTCAAACAGTTTTCAGTCTGATGTTGATCCTGTACCTAAATACTGGGGCATTAATTACCTGTTCTTCATCAGGTAGTAAGATCACTTTTCATTCAAAGCTGTTCTTTGTCTAATTATGCCTAAACACCAATTGCCCACTTCCCTCCAAAAGAAACTATGTAACCTGTGATCTAGATGTTTGTTACCCTACCAATATTTTAATCACTCCCAGGAATATATAATGGACCTAATTTCAGATGGCACATTACAATTACCTGCCTGATTAGAGCACTGAAGTGGAGGTGAACCCTAGAAACTGTGGCAAAAATATCAAACAGAGGACAAAGGACTAGTCATCAGTTTTGCCTGTGGGCTTACTGCAGAAAATGTATCCCATCCCCCCATCACTGACTTACCATGCCTTGTTCATTATTTTTTATCTGTATGGAGGCGGCCATCTTAGTAGAGGCAGATTTTGCTCTCATGTCAGAGTCTTCAACAAGGAGAAAAGTGAGCTGCAATGTAGTGACATCACCAAATCTAACTCCAAATCTTTGGAAACTAGCAGTCAGAGGCATCAGTGCCTTAGATCTAACACTGCAGCTATACAGAAGAGGCACAAGAGAACCTAGGCACCTTTCACATTCTAGGGAGTGCACTGCTATTTTTTAGAAGTAATTCAGGACAAAAGGAATATATTTCAAGGTACTATTAAGGTGCAATTTCTAAATGTTCCTAACACAGGGGCAGACTGACAACTCATGGGGCCCCTGTTTCCTTGCCCAAATAGGGGATCATGGGGGCCCGTTACCTTGCCCAAACTCAAAAAAGCCTACGAAAAAGGTACCAGGGGCATCTCATGGGGCCCTCTACTGACCCCGGGCCCTCGGGCAGTGCTGAGTTTCCAAATGGTCAGTCCGCCCCTGTCCTAACAGTATAACTTATCTTAATTTGTGAAAATCAGTTCCAATTTACGTTTTAAAGCCCAGCTAAAGGAATCAGACATTTAAAAGAGAAGAGCGGGAAATAAACCCCCAAACATACATACTGACCTAGGTGGATGAAGCATCTATTCGATGCTGCATCTATCCCCTACTGATTCTACACTAAGAACTGAGTGACCAAAGACCATTGATCACTCAGTTCTCTGTCTTCAGTGAGCAGAGAACCAATGACTGTCAGTCACCAGCTCTCTACTCTGCTCCTCCAGTGCTCACTGGAGGACCCCGCTGTGGAAAGGGTGGGAGTGGCTGGCTTAATCTCCTAGTGATCTTTCCATAGTCTGGACCAGCTGAATACGGGTCACTCCTGTGACCTATGGGAGAACAATGTGCACTCCTGTGACCTATAGGAGAAGTAGGGCAAAAAGACTATATATAGTGAGGGTGTGCAAGAGTGAGCGCTAATTGGCGAGCTGCTGTATACACCAAAAAGGCACCAAATCAACCTTCTAAGACCAAATATAAAATAGGGTGCAGGCATACCCCTATGACTATGTGCTAGAGCACGAAACGCGTCAGCGAGGAGCTGCAGCGTCCTGACGTCACGCCACCGAGGCCTCTGCTGGTCCGGCGGCCATCTTTGATTCCAGTGCATGGTCAGTTTCTATGTGATTTTACTCTGTTCATCTCCTGTGTTTCGATCAATAAATATCTGGAAGCAATATCACACTATTTTGGCATCCTTTCTTGGGAGCTCTTGTTTTGAGCCTTACCACCCACAGAGCCTATCATAAAAAGAGGTGTGAGATGATGCATTACTACTGATGACCCAGAGGGGAGTCCTTACCAGGGATAGATGTCCACAGGATGATCCAGCTGACCCAATGAGACTTTATGTTCTCAAATGCGCAACATTATTGCGCATCTGGTGAGTGCGTGATTTTATTATTTGATTAACACCAGAAGAATCTGTGGAGGATTACCCTCACCTGAGACTTCACGTCTATCTGTTACTTAAAGACTTTGTCACTATAGTAACACCTATGACCACCTTAATTGATGTTTATTTGCACTTTGTCACTTTATATTGATATACCACTAGTAGTGGCACTCTTTCTGATATATGGAGATTGATGACTACATCATAAGTTTATGTTTCTATGTTTTTATTGTATCTATATGATGACATTTCATTATATTCTGTAGTTTTTAGTGCTGCACCCCATTTTATATTAGGGCAAAAAGACTGTTGGCCCTACCTCTCCTTTAACTTTACAGTGAGAACACCCCTCCACACAGCAAGGGTTAAATGCTAGGGGGAGCTGAAGAGACTACATTACTTACCTTACAGCTCCATCCAGCTCAACACTCTGCTCCTCTTCCTCTGGTTCTCCAGGCTGTGGATGGTCTCTCAGCATCATAAACCTCAATGCAGGGCTATTAACCCTGCATTGCACATGGCAAAACCACAGCCAGAAGCACCTTAAAGAGGAAGCTTTGCAGGACCAGTTGCAGCACTGGAGGGACCCTGCTGCAGCAAGAAATAAAGGACGTACCTCTGCCAAATAAGCAGTCAACCCTTGCAGCCCAGGGGGAGATTTTGTCCAATTCTTACAGTTGGACTCTAAGAAGACTAGGATGTTTTTTGGAAGATTGACGTATTATCTGTTTTACTGGGCCTTTTTCAGGACATTTTATCTACTTTGCAAGGTAGGCAAATTCTTTTTCTTCCTTTCTTTTTTTTTTTTTTTGCTCTTACTGGTAGTATCTCTGTGTTAAAAACTGTGTAACAGAGTCACAAAAATCAGTGTACTAAACTACATACATTGAGGCACAAAGTCAAACATACTGAAAATGTGACTTTCCTTTTTGTTGTAGGAACTCTCCTGCTGTACAAATGACAGGAAAGGAAGGGGGTTTGATTTTGCATGTCATTTCTTCCTTAAAAGTGGACAGCTACTGAAATTAGGCAAGCACATTTTCCTTGACACTATCAGCTGCATTAAAGAAAATCAAGCAAAGTATAGTCCTTCTGCTCAATAAGTGCAAGACGTTTTTTCCTTCCCATTAGTGGCTAAAGCAATTAGCATGTATTGAAAAGTATCAATTCACGGCTTTCCCTTAAAAGAGTGAACTACAGCTTAACACTGCAGAATGTGATTGCATTTCTACTCTAAGAACAGGCATGAATTAGTTTGCAGTATGCTGCGCTTTCTTCATGGAATATGTAATGTTTCTGTTAGTGACAGTGCTAACAATGGCATCTGTCAAAATATAGAATGATGTTAAACAAACCATTACAACTATGCACTATTCAATGCACACACATGACAGCAAACTTTAAATAAAATAAAAGCAGAGAACAAATACTGTACATCTGAGATCTGTGCTGTCACATAGTCTGAAACTTGAACCATCATGGTATACCATTTCATTGAACATCTCCAGATATTCCTATTCAAGTGTGATAACATGGGTAACTTCTTAAACATTACTTTTGAAAGCACCACCTTAAAAGAACTATTCTTGTAAATCTTTGATAACTGTGTGTGGTAGATGGTAGTCATGTAATATATCTAAAATTACTATTTGGTGTTTAAAAGTGAATGTGAGCGCACAATCAAATGTCCAGTATATATGGCATTATACATTATTATACACACTTTTCTTAAGCAAATCAGGTTTTGTGAATCAAAGTTTTTTCCTGTAAACACTACCAATAACATCACTTCCTGTTGCAGGCTGACAACACCAAACCATTGGCTCACAATTAACAATGTTGTCAGCCTGTTGTGAACACCCCTTTAGTTGGTCATTGGGCTATCAGATTTTTGCATGCTTTCTGCCTTTACGTTTTTAAATAGGGGCCTATCCAGTGCAACATCTGTATAACTGTACCTATGTAAACCCACATTGCCTTTAGACTTTGACAACATAAATATTATCTTTACATTTAATATTTTGTTCCATACAGCATGTCCAATACCATTGCCTAAGTACATGTTTAATTACAAGTTCATCTTATAGCCAAGAGGTCATACTATGTACAGCATAGGTATGGCCAAATGGTGGATTTTAATTCCCTTTCCAAGGCATTTCACAGATTAATCCACTTCTTCAGATCAAATGATGAAATAACTATCGATCTTGTAGTTAGGGCTGGTGCTAGACTATTTTGTGCCCTAGGCAAGACCAGCTACTTAGCCCCCCCCCCCCAAAAAAAAAAAAACAGTAGAAAAGAGTAAATCAACAAAACCTAAAACTGCTAAGTTTATTTTAATGTGCAATAAGATGCCACCGGCACCAATATTAAAGACAAAATCAGTGTCACAGATGAACTGTATCTGTGGCTGGTAGTGGCAGGGTGACAGTTGCAGTGAGTGGAGGATGATGGATCCACACTCTGACAGATCCCAGGCTGGAATTCTCCAGGCAATGGGGGGGGAGATAAAACTCTGTGACAGCAGGCAGCTGAACTGAGCGATCCCACACAGTGACAGATCCAACACAACACACCACCACCAACACTGACACAGATCAGCAGGCCCAGCAGGCACTAGAAGAGCAGGCTGTGTGATCATAATGATGTCATCACTCACTGACATATTGCACATGTGATGGATATCCAGGTCACACTCACACAGACACGAGACATCAGAGCCAGACATTACCTTCCTCCGCTGGCACGGCTCCTCCTCCACTGATGAATGGGAAGAGAAGGGCTGGAACTCCACACTTATCAGCCACCAGCAGTCTTGCAGTAAGGGACTGAGGCTGAGAGGAACACTGGAAGGGACGGCAGTTCAGCTGCTACACTGGCGCCAGACACCCGGCATCTTCCTTTGTCTTTTTTTCCTCCCCTCTGCTGCCCCTCCTCTCAGCGGAAGGATCATTCATGACATGGTGGCATCCCACACAGAGAGTGCCGGCTTCTGCTGCGGGCAGTGCACCCCTGGGTAGCAGTGCACCCTAGGAGGCTGCTTAGTTTGCCTAGTGGAAGCAACGACCATGCTTGTAGTATTAAAGTTGTTTATAGAAAAAAGATAAACCAGTGCTCCCATCACCCAAAAAGCTTATACATATAATTTACACATCTGTAAGCCGTGTACCGGGTTGGGCTCCACAGGATACAGTGAAGTCACGAACGAGGAAAGCAACCCCAACACCAGCTTTTGCCACAACAGAATTTTACTTAGATGTGGCAAATAAACACAACCACAAATGCTGGAAACATACAATAAATTTACATACACCCAGCCCAAAGGCTGAGACCCTTTTGCTGCACAGCACGGCACCTTCTGATGGATGAAGGTAGAAAGAAAATTAATTTACCTACTGGCGGGCACAAATAAGCTGCCACACCTTACCTGTTATTACCCTAAAAGAGAGCAGGAACCAGTGTATGGGTGTATGGTATGGGCTAGCCTGCGGTGCAGCACAACAGCTTACAATCTTACACAAATCTACAGTATTCCCTCTCCCATAACTGGTCCTGTAGCACGTGCCTGAGTATTCCTTCTGAGCAAAACGCCAGTCTGGCTTGAGTTTGTAGGATTTTATCAGCTCTCCAATGTGAAATGTCACTTTAAGTTGTGGAGTACTTCCAATAATCAGTAACAACACTTGTGGCCTGACAAGGGTCTGCTTTGCATCTGCTGGTGACTCTGAACAGAACAGATGTCTCTCCAACAAGCATGCGGTCTCGCCGTATATGTTGCTTAGTTCCTCTGCTCTCATCAGCCTACCTGGAAGCAATCTCATCAGCATTTCTGGCAGAAATCTCATCAGCTTCCTGGCAGCAATCTCATCAGCATTCCTGGCAGCAATCTCATCAGCATTCCTGGCAGCAATCTCATCAGCTTCACTCAGCTGCAGCTCTGGTTACTGAGGGATGCATTCACACCTGGATGTCATCGGATTCTCAGCTCACACGGTCCCTTCATTCAGCATCGTCCAAAACATGGCTGCAGTCTCCTCTTCCTGTTCACTAAACTCCAACTCTGAGTGCAAAACCCCACCTCTTCATGAATATACAAATATCAATGCAGTTTGAGCCTGTGTTAGAAAAACAGTGACATCTTGTGGCTAAACCGCAGAATGTCAGTCAAAACATTAATTTACTTCCACACAGTGTTCAAACAATGAGAGCTTGTCAGGGCTCCAGGGTATGACCAGAGGTATGTGAACTGACGCAGGGAAACGCAGGCAAGCTTCAGATATGATATAAACAATATAATTTATTAACACTAACAATACATAAACGCAGTGCAATACTAAAACATAACAGTGCAAACGAACCAAACCACCCACAGCTAATACATACAATGCAAGCGTCGTCAGGCAGGCTGGGTCAATAACAATCGGGCAGGTAGGAACAGGGGGTCAGGCAGAGAATGGTCGGGGTCACAAGCCAGGGATCAAACAGGAGAAGTCAGCAGAGGTCCGGATCAGACAGGGTCAGCAACGAATCAGTCAGACAGAGACAGGAACAGGAATGCAGGTAACAAGATACAGGGCCCAGGAAAAACCACACACCAAGGCAGAGACTGCAGGTCTGGCCATCCCTTAAATACACCCGCATAATCAGCTTCAGGTGTTTGGCTGGCTGCAGGGTTGAGTCTCTGATTGCTGGGAGCACCCGCTGGCCAACCCTGGTACTGCAGCCCACAAGGCAGGTGAATCCCCACCATTACTGGCAAGTCCATTCCTGACAGTACCCCCACCTCAAGGAGCGGCCTCAGGACGCTCCAAACAGTCCTAGCTGGGCAAAATGTTCACCGCCCGGGTCTGGTAACTGGCAGGATATCAAAGACTGGCACACCGGGCAGGACTCTGGGCAGCGGCACACCGGGCAGGACTCCGGGCAGGACGGCACTTCCAGGGGCAGCGGCACATCGGGCAGGACTCCGGGCAGCGGCACAGGATCGGGCAGGACTCCGGGCAGCGGCACATCGGGCAGGACTCCGGGCAGAGGCACATCGAGCTGGACACCGGATCACCAGGCAGAGCAGCAGGCACCGGGCCCCCTGGCGGAGCGACAGGCATTGGGCCCCCAGGCGGGGCGGCGGGTGGCGGGCCCCCAGGAGGAGCGGGGCGGGCGGGGGCGCCGGGCCCCCAGGCGGAGTGACAGGCATTGGGCCCCCAGGTGGGAGCGGCGGGCACCAGGCCCCCAGGCAGAGCGGCGGGCACCGGGTCCCCAGGAGGGGGCGGCAGGCACTGGGGCCCCCAGGAGGGGCGGCAGGCACCGGGCCCCCAGGAGGAGCGGCGAGCGCCAGGCCCCCAGGTGGAGCGGCGGGCCCTCAGGCGGAGCGGCGGGCGCCAGACCCCCAGGAGGGACGGCAGGCACCGGGCCCCCAGGCGGAGCGGCGGGCACCGGGTCATCAGGCACGACAACGGGCATCGGGTCACCAGGCATCAGGTCATTTGGCTCGCCAGCGGGCACCGCGTCATCTGGCAAGGCAGTGGGCACCGAGTCACCAGGCACGACAGTGGGCTCCGAGTCACCTGGCATGACCGCGGGCACTGGGTCAGACATTGGATCGTCTGGCCCGACAGCGGGCATCGGGTCACCAGGCATGACAGCGGGCACTGGGTCATCAGGCATTGGGATCGTCTGGCTCGACAGCGGGCATCGGGTCACCAGGCATGACAGCGGGTACTGGGTCATCAGGTACCGGATCGTCTGGATCGACAGCGGGCATCGAGTCAACTGGCCTAATGGAATCATCAGGCTGGATCAGTTCATCAGGCTGGGTAGAAACATCATGCTGGGTAGAGGCATCAGGCTGAATGGAGGCATCAGGCTGGGTAGAGGCATCAGGCTGGGTAGAGGCATCAGGCTGGGTAGAGGCATCAGGCTGAGTAGAGGCATCAGGCTGAATTGTGGGCGCCGAGGCACCAGGCTGCACCACGGAAGGCAGGTTCTCAGATGGGAGGCTGACCGGTTTGGATACTGGCAGGATGGTATTGGTTGGAAAGAACTTTCGCCTTTTCCTGGTTTTAGTTACCAGAGCACTGTAAGTAAGCACAGGTTTGTAAACGGATGGAGCAGCTGGAGACAGAGAAGAGCTGGGGGATGGAACAGGGGAGGGAACAGTTGCTACAGAGTGCTTCTTTACAGGGTTAATGGCAGGATAGGTGCAGCGAGTGGGAACAGGGTACTGACATGCGGTAGATAGCAGGGTATACTGGGCTGTAACTGGAGGTGCTGTTGGGAATGCAGGAATAGAGCTTTGAAGAAATAGATTAGAAGCAGGAGGACTGGGTTTTTGCAAGCTGACTGAGGCTGGGTGCAACAAGTCTGACCATGTCTGCAGTATGGGTTGAACAAAGCTCAGCTTACACAAAGCCTGTCTGACCAAAGACTGCACTGCATTTATACAATCCCTTAATACCTGTGGTGAACATGCAGCATAATGCTTCAAGAAGCAATCCACATCATCCTCTAATAACCATACCAGGGACTCTACCTGGTCTGCACTAAATGGTGGCAAAAAGTCATTCCTGCTTTCAGGGGTACCAGATGAAGCCAACTCTACACAAACCTGAATCAAAGGTTGCACCTCAGAGAACTCTGTGCCCTGATCTACTAGAACATGAGCGATTCGTATACACTCTAGCAGTTGATCCCGGGTATACTCCCTCAGAGTCTGATAAGCATATTCTCTGTCATCAAAAACCATAGCAACAAATACACAACCTCATCAAGATCCATCCTTCCCAGCAACAAGCCAAGATGGCTTCCCTGTGCAGCCACTTCTGGTCAGGATTGGCCTTGGTGTAATGTCAGGGCTCCAGGGTATGACCAGAGGTATGTGAACTGACGCAGGGAAACGCAGGCTTCAGATATGATATAAACAATATAATTTATTAACACTAACAATACATAAACGCACAGTGCAATACTAAAACATAACACAGTGCAAACGAACCAAACCACCCACAGATAATACATACAATGCAAGCGTCGTCAGGCAGGCCGGGTCAATAACAATCGGGCAGGTAGGAACAGGGGGTCAGGCAGAGAATGGTCGGGGTCACAAGCCAGGGATCAAACAGGAGAAAGTCAGCAGAGGTCCGGATCAGGCAGGGTCAGCAAAGAATCAGTCAGACAGAGACAGGAACAGGAACAGGAATGCAGGTAACAAGATACAGGGCCCAGGAAAACCACACACCAAGGCAGAGACTGCAGGTCTGGCCATCCCTTAAATACACATGCATAATCAGCTTCAGGTGTTTGGCTGGCTGCAGGGTTGAGTCTCTGATTGCTGGGAGCACCTGCTGGCCATCCCTGGTACTGCAGCCCACAAGGCAGGTGAGTCCCACCATTACTGGCAAGTCCATTCCTGACAGAGCTGTTTCCCCATCTCACACATCTACTGCTAAAGGGGTGTGACCATGTGTTAACACTAAAAATTCTGGATGATCCCTCTGCATACAACTATACGCCCATTTTAGGAAATTTTGCACAAAAACCAGGGATTTTTTTGTTCACACATATTGCAGTGCATGTTTAAGATGGCTAACTGTGTCAACGTAATCCCTCTCTGGCCAGTCCCTACTCTTCTTTACAAAATGCAAATGCTCCAGTGGATATACTTTTAGTGCCAATATGGGGCAAGTTGTAGGATTCAGGAATCCAGGTTCAGGTCTGATCATTGACCTCCTGTACTGCAAAAGTCCAAAATATATTAGTAATATATATATATATATGTACAGAATATCCGCCATCCGCCCTCAGGTGCTAAAGATATGTGGCCACATGCTAACACTGAAACATTCTGAATGATAGCACACTGCTATACACATTTTCTAGCAAACTTTGCATAAAAATACATAACCTTTTAGGATCTAGTGGACTCCAATACACTGTGACCATTTACTGTAAACATCCCCTACAGTGCCACTTGTCCCATGCTCTGTCTCTGCTACTTTTTTTGGACAGTTTGAACTGCAAGTAAACAAAAACTAAAGGCATGGGGGGGGGGGGGGGGGGGTGTGTGTGTGTGTGCGTGCGTGCGTGCGTGTGTTGCTGAACCTCGCTTCAGTGAATGCTGAGTCACTGACCAGAGAAAAAGTATTAATAGAAGGTAAATCAGATTGAAGACATGGGTTTTCATCTACATGCCTGTATGGGAGAGTAGCTAAAAAAAGTATTGAAACAGGATGATCAGCATGGCAGCCAGGGAACTAGCATTACCAACAGGACAGATCAGCAAAAGGAGCCTTCATGTTTTCCTAATGATGTGTTTCCTGTGTCTCAATATTTTATTTCCTCTTTAACATACATCATAAAAAATACAAAACTACAAAGTACACTATTTTTCAGACTTTTCTGGATTTATGTGTAGATGGTGACATCTTGTGGTCATTTTTGTCATAACAACTCAGTTCTACTTGCTAGCTGTCTCCTTTAATAAAATTAATGCTTATTAAAAGGAAAATCTACTGCATTTTGTATCAATGTTTCCCTTAATAAAATGGAAATTTATACTTAAATATTTATATTTTACTAAGCAGCAAATAATGAAAACGGTTACTTAATGGGAGAAACTATATGCTTTAAAGACTTCAGAAAGACAAAGCTACTGGTGTTATTTTACCAAATTAATTTGACATAAGTATTTTTTAATACTTTAAAAGATTATGAAAGTTAAATATTGTCAACCAGAACCTTGTGGTATTTATCCTTTATCTGAACGAGAAACATAAAAGTGAACCTAGTATATGTGGCCTGTGCTGTATAGGGTTGTCTAGAAAAAATTGCATTAACTGACATTTAATTTGCAGTAAGGTTAATAAGGATATATACACTTATTGGTAATTATAGTTTAAAAAAAAGTGATGGTGAAGTATTGTAAGAAGTACTAAGTGAGAGGAAAAAAAAATGTTTTTCCTCACTATTTTCTGACAGCAGGTGGCAGTACAGTGCTATAAATACCAGTTTTTAAATACCAGGGTTTTTTTGTTTTCTTTTGTTTTTTTTTACCATACCTACTTTTTTTTTTAGATCTCCAGAATTTTGAATAATGTAAACATATACTATGTTGGGGAAAGTAAAAATATTTAAATTCAAAATAAATTTAATTATTTTCATGTCCTTACAAATGATTAATGTATCTGTGTATGTTTGTACAATGCATTAAATACAATGTTAATGCTTTGTAAAGAGGAGCTGATCCTTTTGATAGTAAAGTGGTAGTAAAAAAAAAAAAAAAAAAATCACCTTCTAGGTAATGTCATAATGTGCTAGTATGCATTGCATACTAAAACCCACAAGAGTAAAATCAGTCTAAATATGCAGTAAGGCGTGCTTGTTATACTCACTGTGGAACCCAAGGGGTTAATCCTCTGCAATGTGTAAAAAATTATGTTTGATCCACTCTTCTCTGATCCTCCCCTTCTTCTACTCTGGCCCAAATCCATCTGCTGGTAGAAACAGAGCCTTGGGGCAAGCTGCACATGCTCATTTTGGTATGTATTGCTAGGCAGTTTTTTTTTTTCTTGGAGAGAGTGCATGTGATCAGCACATGGCCAATCAGCAGTGTCCAGACAGAAGGTCAGGGTTATGCAGCCTCATAGGACAATCAGAGGAGAATAAAAACTCCTCCTACAAGCTTTAACCAGTGCTCTACTGGACACTGATAGAAGTCACAAGACTGCTATGTACTGCTGATGAAAAAAAGGTATTTAGCAGTTTGTATTTACTAAAATAACTGCATTTCCAAGTTGTATGTACTGTGGGAGACCAGATATAGTGAATGCAGGGTCCTGGGTTTAGTAACACTTTAAGGCAACTAGGAGAGTCCAGAGGACTGAAGAGATTTGAGAGTCCCAGAGGAGTGAGAGAGAGCCTGGGGGTGTCAGGAGAACACTTATTGAGAGGCCAGGAGGGGGCCTGTATAGCAAGGAGCTGTGACCACAGGCTGTGTGAGCCAGGAAAAGCCCAGAGAGCCAGAAGAGCTGAGTGAGACAGTCTGAGGGACAAAAGCAGTGGTGCTGCTGACGAGGGAGCCACGTGGCTCATCTTTTTCTGTGACCTGTTTTGCTGTGTGAAAGTGAAACCCCTGTGTGAAAAAAACCAATGTAAAGGACTTTGCTTTGACTTATACTTTAACAAAAGCTGGCTGGCAAGCCCTGAAACCACCATTCAGGCTAAGGCTCACTAAAAATGCCTCTACCACAGCGCTAGATTCCCCATATCACAACAAATACAGATTTTATAGGTTTGCAATGATTTTATTTTGTTAGTAAATGCCTGTTATTAAAGGTTAATGAACCATTATTTTACTCCCTTCAGTTGTATATTAAGTCCATCTAGAATGGCTCCAATTTGTGTTCTCTTCAATCCTCACTTCATAGAGCCACACTACTATTGCCGGTGAGAAAGATACCTGTACTTCAACAAGCTATCTGAACTTAAACTGCAGCACCACTATGAGGAAAGCTCAAGCTTGACTGATGTAGGGGGCCTAAGTAAAAGTCAATTGGGATGGATCTCATCTTTTCAGAATGCAAAGAACTAACCTGGCCTGTACTTGTATCCCTTATCTACAAAGGTAATTTCCAGGAGTATTTAGTATCAGTACACAATATATCAGGGACCTTGTTGACAAGAGGTGTTCCCATGGTGTTGCATGAACTTGATGACATCTCGATGCAAATCCACATGAGAAACAGATACATAGAAAGATAGATAGATCTATAAATAGATAAAGCCTGTGTATTTAAACAATGTTTTAGCGTTTGATCCATGGGTATTGGTTAGCTCATCCCTAATAGTTAGGGTTAATGTAGTGTGGCCAAAATGCATCATGCC